GTCTTCATCTCCGAGCGCTGTTTTATCAGAGGTGGACACGCGTCTGTTATCATGGCGGAAGACAGACGGATTCGTCCTTTGTCTGTTTCTGGCTTCGGCCAGATGTTACAATCAACATCTACAGGCCTCGTCGTAATTCACACCAACGGCTCATTACGCAGAGAGACCTTCACATAACTCAGCCGGAGCGTCCTGCACTTTCCATTACATGTTCAATATATTCCACTGCAAAAATGCTCTGGATTTTGAAATATCACGTTATCGATTAGCAGTCGCTTTTAAGATAATATTTTATCCATTTGATTCTCAGCACAGAGCGAGAGCAGCTGCCGGAGACGGAGGACTAACTTTCCAGACGCTTAGACTGAACATGCCCAACAACAACATAGTTGTCTCAAAAAAAGAGTCGGAACAGACTGAGTCAGTGTTGCCAAAATTCTTGCAGAGAAAAAAATATATATATTTTTTTTTATTATTACTGGTTTAACCTTTTAAAAAATGGAACAGTTTATTTAACCTTATTTAACTCAAAATGTATTTAAAAACATTATTTGTATTTTTTATAATATTTTAATAATTAGTGGTGTTTAACCCTGTAAAGCCTGACATATGAAATAATTGAATAATGAAATAATTAATTTTTTTATTTTTTATTAATGGAACAGTTTATTTAACCTTTAGACTATATACTGTATATATATATATATGTGTGTGTGTGTGTGTGTGTGTGTATGTTTTATCTAAAAATAATTTTAAAAAATTATAATTATTTGATATGTCAGGTGTTACAGGGTTAAACACCACTAATAATATATATTCAAAACAAATTTTTGGTATTTGGTATTTTTTTGTAACATTATGGGTATTATACTTTTAGTTGTTGTTGTTGTTTTTATTTATTATTAGTGCTGTTTAACCCTGTAAAGCCTGACATATAAAATAGCAGTCAGTTATTTATTAAGACAGTTTTATTAAGACAGTTTACTGAACCTTTAGAGGAAATATTTTTTTAAAAATGTACATTTACAAAAAAAAAAA